TCGAGAATCAACATCCATAGGCAAACACTAGCTTCAACACAAAAGTTATCTGATCCAACGGTTGGGAAACTCTTAATCTAGTCAAACAAAAAGTCAAAACCTGTATTATCTAGGGGGACCAAAATCCCGCTATGCTTCTCCAGCCCCACCTCCACACATTTGTCGGAAACTTTAAACTAAATTAAAATGAATAATAATGCTTACAAGGAAACAATTGCTGGTTTAGGCGCCACTCAAAAGGCTTTAAAAAACCATTTTCTTAAACCTCAATGATTGTCTTAACATGGATTCCAACCCCAAGTGGCTCATTCTTTAGTGATTTTTAAGGTATCCCACCTTACATAGACTAAACCTTAATTACATCTCCCTTTTTTTAATATATAGTGTTAATTCCCTTAGGTTACCCCACATTTAACAGTGCTTTAATCTTAGGTGGGCAGCCTCAAGACCAAGGGTATGGCTGGAAATTTCATCATATTGTGGGGCCTTTCCTTTTTTAAATAAAGATTATATATTAATTATTATATCACTTTTTTTTTTTAATTTTGAAATGCATTTGTTAACTTGTGAGGCGAGATCTGATCAATAGAAAAATTTTATTTATAATTATTGTACTATAATTAAAATTTTGTAAGATCTATTATAATTTTATAAAAAAAAATTATCTATAAATGATAGATTTTTATATTATTTTTTATTATGATTAAATAATTATAAAATTATAATAAAAAATTAAAAATGAAATGCTCTTCAAATTTCTCGAGTTTGAAAGAGTTAGGGTTCAAAGTTTGAATTCTTTTACTTTCTCCTGGGTTTGAGCAATCAAAAGAAGGAAGAGGAGAAAAAAACAAGTATGATCTAAGCAATAAACAGATTTTTCTTCACAAATGTTTTATTTTATTCGATTTTTAGTTAATGTGTGCAAGTTTATTAAACTGAGCAAGGATCACATCGGAAATTGCTCTCCACATGACGATGGGAATATAAAATATATAACCCAGCAATCATATTTCTCTCTTTCTTTAAATTCTAATAAAATAGATGCATAGAGAAAAGAAGCCCGCTCTTTCTCAGCGAGCACATAAAATTGCTATTGTGCAAATTATAATTGTTTTTTTTTTTTAAAGAATTTAATTTATCCTTAAATCTCTTATTTTATTATTTATTTAATTAAAAAATTGTATATAAAATTTTTGGAATCCATATCTTTTAAATACAACCTCCAATATAAATATCAATTTGCCCAAATATCACTCTTTAATTATAATTGCGGTGTTAGTCTTGTAGTTGGGACACGGCAAAAGGGGTATCCCCTGTTTGAGGGGATGGTGGGGAAATCCGCGGCATGTTCCCCTTTCAACACCGTAGCTGGGATCCCTAGGAGAGCTCTCCTCAGCGGCTCAGCTCATGATCCCTCCACGTACTGCCGGCTGCAGCCACCCCCCCCCCCAAAAAAAAAAAAAAAAAAAAAATCAAACCTCTGATCAAAATCATTATTTTTTTTTTGACTATAAATCTATGGCTTTAATTAGATAATAAGAAAAAGTGTTTTGATCTTAGTTTCAAATATTAAGATTTTGTTATATTAATGTAATTAGTATTAATTGGACTAAACCCTTTTTTGGCTTTTATGTATGGATTGATTTTATTTTATATAATATGTCAACAATATAATGTAGTATATGCTTTGAAAAAATCCCGGATTAAGCGAGTCCTATGCATACCCATTATGTGGGTGAAATAAATAAAAGTTTTATTATTTAGATACGAATTAAAATATTAAAAAATTATATCCCAAAATGTAAATGAGAGAAAATGGATAACTAACGTGCAAATTTTTAAAATGAAAAAAAAAAAAAGTAAGAAGCATATTTCAAAATTAAGACTCTAGTTTTATTATTTTTTATAAATTTATATCAGTATACACTATAAGTGCACCATAGACATCTTTTTATTTTATGATTTGTCTTTATTATTAATTCTGAAAACACTAATTCAGTAAGACGCTTTAGTATTAGTATAAATTATCCATTAAAGACACCAATATATAATATTAATCTTTCCTTCTTAATGAGAAAAAATTTGAAATTTTAATGAATCAAAATAACTACAAAATATATTTAGTTGCATGGCTGATCATGATGATCTTATAATTATATTCTATGTATCTTATAGAACAGATTGAACTTAAATTATTTATGCAAGTTTCTCTGGTTGAAATACTCTCAAGTTCACTACCATCTAAGATGCACTTTCTCATTGTCGTAATCCTCCATTACAAATTTCTTATACAAACTCTTCCAATCCAGCGGAAGACAGTAAAGAAAAAAGTTAGAGAATATCGACCCTTGGAAAGGAGAAAGAGCCATATCTTACCCTATATTTCATTGCCATAAATAAATAAATAAATAGGAGAATAATAAGATGTGTCAAGCAATAAAGTTGAGCATAAGAAATCTAGTTTTGCTACATAATTATACGCAGTGTACAGGCAAACATACACAAACCCTAATGGGGATTGGCTTGTCTTAATCTCTTGTCCATGTTCTTTTTTAAAAGAGGTTTAACCCCAAAGCTAGCATGCTTATCCACACCACTAAAGCTAATTATTTAGCAAATTAGGCTGACATGGACTTGATTATATCTGATTAATTTGCTTAATCCAAAATAATGTCTTGGATTTGGATCTATCAACACAAATTTTACAACAGATTGATCGACTATACATAACATTAGTGTAAAGATTGATTGCGATCAATAATTAAATAAAATCTTTTATATGTTTTTTTTAAGTTAAAATTAATCTATAAAAGGGTTAAGTTTGTTACTCACAGTTTAATTTTTCTTATTCATTAAGTTAGTTGATTTTTTTAGTATTGGTTGTTGAATTGGCATTGGTAGCAGCCTATAGTTGGCCACCAACAATCAAACATTTATCACTAGCATTATGATTGAAGGGATCATGATAAAATGTTCATTAGTATAATCCTATTTCAATATTTAAAGTCGTGTGGTTTAATTAATTAATAATAATAATAATAAAAAGAGCACATAGGATGGCTAGTGTGGAAGGCATCTCAAATTGGTATTAGATTTTCTCCTCATAGGGAGGGGGACAAAGCAGTTGCTTATTGTGCTACTACAAAAGATGCTAATTAAAGGAGAAATAGGATCCATATTAATTAAATTAAACTAAAGTTGGTATTAAAAAAACAAATCATCATCAGCCTATTATGGCGTATGGGTCATTGGTGTTTTAGGTATGGCTGTCCAAGCAAGTAGATTAGTACCGGTTCATCTGCATGCCTTACTTGCTACTGATCTCCCCAAGACTTAACATTTAAATAGAAAATTCATACTTAACATTTAAATAAAAAGTTCAAAATTTTTTTAAAAATATATTTTTTTAATTCAAAATAAAAAAATAAAAAAATTGATGATAGGTAAAAAAAATTTGTTGCTTACTACGAATAACTAATATGGCGATAACTAAATATTTATATTGCGTGACATAATTTTATTAAATATTAATATTATATTAATCATTTATCTGATAATAATAATATAAAATATTAAAATATTTGACAAAATTAAAATTAAAGTATTAAAATATACAATTTATTCTTTTAAATATCAAATTGACAAAAGATATATATATAATACAAAAGCATTTCACATATTAATTTTTTTTCCACAAAAATGAGCTCTAATTGTCATTATGCATCGCAACTTGTGGAATGCCAAACCTGCGATTCTTTTTCTTTTATTTTCTCTAAAACTTCGATCTTTATATGAGATCTTTTGATAAATTCGTTTTACACTAAATAATATATTCTTTTTCGTGATACAAGTGATTTATTTTAGAACTATTATTGAGTGTAAGGAATAATTACAAGCATTGACATTTAATGTTCTAGTTTGAAGATTGAATAAATTTATATAAATTTTTTATTTTTTATTATTAGATTAAAATTAAAATTATTATTAATTAAGAAAAAAATAATAATTTTAATTTTAATTATTTAATTTAAAAATAAAGTAATGTAAAACTTATATTAATATAATTGAATTCCTTCTCTTATATATAATTTTTTAACATAAAAATTAGAATAATTCAAAAAATTCTTTTTAAAAAAGTCAAAGTATTAACTTTTACGTTAATGCATCGCCATAATAGTAATGAAATTTGGTCATCATGAGAGCTGAAGATGTAATTGGTTGCAAAAACTTAGATTCTCAAATCTCAACTACTAATGATGTGAGCTCCCAACTTAATTTGTTGTAAGGACAAAATTTGGTCTATATGTCAAAGTTCCATGTAAATTCAATGAGGTGACCTACAAAAACAAAAACAAAAAAAAAAAAAGAAAAGAATTAAATGGTTTATGATTTGTTAGCATAATACGCGCGTTTAGGTGAGTCTTCTTGAAGTGAAAATGTTCCAGAAAAATTGAACCGTCAAAATTGTTTTTTTGTGGGTGTTTTGAATGAAATCAAACTTAGTACGAAATGAAATATTATAAATTGACTGAGGTCAAATATTCAAATTTTACTTTGAAAAAATGAAATCTCGACGGTTCAAGGGGGTCACTGCTTGCTACTTGCCGAAGAAAAAAGTGAAAAACATGATGATGATATAATAATAATAATCGCTAAACGACAACGTTTGTGGAACAGTACATCTGGACAGGGACCCACATAAATTCAACCACGTGTAAACTCCACTTTGGCAAATAGGTGTGACGTGTATTGACGAGAACCACCGACCTGCTCGCGCAGATTGTCTGGGAAAAATAACAGGTTTTACAGGATCAAGATCCAACACTTCCCAGGTGTTCACGTGGATCCCACAGTCCTCTGTGGCATAAGTCCGTAATTTTCACTACCTTCCCAGGGCAAATCACTAACCTCAATTCTTCCTTCCATTGCGAAAAAAAAAATAAAAAAATAGACCATATAAAATGTAAGAAAAAACAAAAAATGAAAAGACCCCAAATTTCTGCCGGGTTAACTCGAGCCAACCTTGTTGCCTGTTTCGAAGCAGACAACGAAAGAGACGGCAAGAAACGGCAATATCTAACGTCGAAATCACACCTAACGCTCTCCGTTAACCCCAGCCACACGCATTCCAATGCCCATTCATCCAAATTCGAAACGTACAACGACGTTAGAAAACGGCATTCCACCGTTTACCGTCAAATGGTCCGTCACGTTAACCCCCTGAGGCCATGACCTCCCCTCATCCTCCGGTTAAATCCGAACCAGAGTTAAATTAGCGTTACACACACGATAAAAACGAAGAAAGGGTAGAAAGAATCGGTGTTAAAAGGCAGACAACAAACAAGGTCGCGTAATATAGGACGCGCGAAGCGGTTTTAAGGGAATTCTCTGTAACGGCGTTTTCTTTCCAGATAGACGTAGAGAGATTGAGAGATTAGAAAGCTGAAGCGAAAAGCCGTTTTGCGAGGTGAAGCAAGGCGGTTTTGTAACGGTTAAAGCGGTTTTCAGTTACGGTATTTGGATCTCGCGATCTTTACGGAGAGGCAAAGAGGGGGAGAAGAAAAAAGTGTGTAGAAAGTGTAGTTTTTCTGGAATCGAAGAGTCGAGCAGTTAAATCGTGTTAATTATCTTTGTTAATAATCGTAATTATTTGGTTTTATTATGGTCCTTAAATGTATATAATAAGGTATATCCATTCAAGGATTAGAGCTGTTCGGAGGATTTAATTTGTTTTTGGAGGTTTTTGAACATTGCTGCTGCTTGTTATTGACTTGGAGATTAGAGAGAGTTCAATGTTGGCGAATCGTGGAGGGTCGTTTTCGCAGACAAATAATGTCTCCTCTGAGGGTAAAAAGAAAGCACAAAATTGACTGTTGATTTGAGATTTTCTTCAACTTCTTTTCTTTTTGTTTGCTTTTTCCTGGAAATTTTTGAAACTTTTCTTTTTCTTTCGAGTAATAGGAAATGGAGGAGATGATCTATATATGGAGTTATGGAAGTTATGTGCGGGACCACTTGTTGAGGTTCCTCGAGCTAAAGAGAGAGTCTATTATTTTCCTCAAGGACATATGGAACAGGCAAATATCTTTTCGTTTTTCTTATTTTTATTTTTCTTTTTTGGATTGGATTTTTTTTCCTTTGTCTTATTTGAAAATTGTTGCCTTTTTATGGAAATGGTTAATTTCTTGGGTTGTTGATTGAAATATTGCTATTTTTGGTGGGGGATTGTTTTAGTTGGAAGCGTCCACGAATCAGGAGTTGAATCAGAGGATTCCGTTGTTTAATCTTCCATCGAAGATTCTTTGCCGTGTTCTTCACATTCAGTTGCTGGTGATCTTCTCTATCTGATTTTTAACTTGATTTGTATAGGTTGTAGTAATTTCTAGCAATAGTTGTTACATCGAATTGAGTATCTTGCCTAGTGCCCACACTTATAAGCGGTGATGCTTACATAATTCTTTATTATGATTGGATAATTGTAGGATTATAAAAAAAAAAAAATTGTAGGTGAAATGCACCCTAGTGTGTATGGTAAATAACATGTAAAATAAATGTAAAAAAAAGTTTATTATATATGTTAATAAGATTGAGTGATTAACATGCTTATTAATACTATATTTTTAAATAAAAATTTTCTTATATTTTACATGTTAATTTACTAATTAAAAGTTTAAAATTTTCATATTATTTAATTTAAAACCTTTGGAGAATATGTTTATAAGTTTTTCTGGTAAAAAAGTTATTAAAATTGCATTTTTAGGTAATTGGGCCTGACCCAAATTTACCAGAAATGCAAGGAAGTGTATTTTGATACCCATGGATTCACTTGTATATTCATTGATATGCTACTGATTCATGATAAAATCGATTCATCATAAATATATGTATCGATTTTGTAGTGAATATATGTATGGAGCATCTTAGGATATTAGCAACTATGGTTTCTAGTTGTGTTTTGATTCTTTGTTTGGTTGCTACGAAAATGGAGAAGAAAAAAAGAACTGGAGTAATTATTGGATCCTATTATTGTTTTTGATCTTGATTGTAAACCTTAAGCATTAAATAATTAATTTTCCTTGAGTAATTAGTTTTATTGGCTCTATAAAATGGGGCTTCAGTCAGATGCTAAGTGATGTAGACCAAGTGGACCATTATATTATTCTGTCAACATGTGATTTGGGGATAACTTTTATGAACTTATTCTATTTGTAGGCTGAACAAGAAACAGATGAAGTTTATGCACAAATAACTTTGTTGCCAGAACCAAATGTAAGAACCAGTTTTGTTCCTTTCTGATTTGAACATTTTTCTGTATTGAAATGCAAAAAAATTGGTTTTTCTTTTTATTTTATTATTTGAAATTAGTGATTTCCAATTAAGTTTTTGGCATATATAGCAACCAGAGCCAACAACTCCTGATCCATGCCCTCCTGAGTCTCAAAGACCTACTGTCCACTCATTCTGCAAGGTTTTAACTGCCTCAGATACGAGCACCCATGGAGGGTTTTCTGTTCTTCGCAAACATGCCACTGAATGCCTTCCTCCACTGGTACAATTTCTAGATCATGCTATTTGTTTTGGCCTTTTCCTCTTCTATCATAAATCTGCTTTTTATTGATTTCTATCGTGGATGTCTTTCAGGACATGAACCAGGCAACACCAACCCAGGAATTGGTTGCCAAGGATCTTCATGGTTACGAGTGGCGCTTTAAGCATATTTTCAGAGGTAATGAAAACACCTGATTTTTTATTGTCGTGCTTGTTCAGTTGTTTGATATTAAAGTGTTTCTATGGTTTTGGTAGATGTGAGATACTTTAAGCCTTAATGATTTTTCTGTCTATTCTGTGCAAAACACACCTCCACTGTTGATTGTCACATATTATTTTTGTTTATATGATTCAATGAACAGGCCAACCTAGGAGGCATTTGCTCACAACAGGATGGAGTACGTTTGTTACCTCAAAGAGATTAGTTGCCGGTGATTCCTTCGTGTTCCTGAGGTAGAAGTGATTTTGCATTTTTTTTCTACACTTTGATGTTTGTTTGTGTGCACCTTGAATTTGTTCCAGCCTTTGCTGGTTATGTTCATTTCTCGTGTAGCTAACGAGCTATTCATTTAATACTTGGTTATCCAGAGGGGAAAATGAGGAGCTACGTGTTGGGGTGAGGTGTGTTTCTCGCCAACAGAGCAACATGCCGTCGTCAGTGATTTCAAGTCAGAGCATGCACTTAGGAGTTCTTGCAACTGCATCTCATGCTGTTTCAACGCAAACCCTCTTTGTCGTCTACTATAAGCCAAGGTATGATATTTACAGATTTGCCAAAAATGAGATGAAAATGATATTTCTTTACTTATTAAATGTCTTGTGTAAAATATCAGGACAAGTCAGTTCATTGTCGGGATGAACAAATATTTACAGGCTCTTAACAGTGATTTTACAGTTGGCATGAGATTTAAGATGAGGTTTGAAGGGGAGGATTCTCCTGAGAGAAGGTAGTGGAATTAACCACATGATTGCTTTGGATTGGTGATTGTTTGATCTCTTTTGTAAATACTTACTTGACGTACCTTGATTGATAAGGTTTTCTGGCACAATTGTTGGGGTTGAAGACTTTTCTCCTCGCTGGCAAGATTCAAAATGGCGATCATTGAAAGTAACTTCTTCAACTTTAATTTAAATTATTTTCCAGTATAATTATAATTACTACTTGTCAACAGGTACAATGGGATGAACCTGCCTCTTTTCCAAGACCTGACAGGGTTTCACCATGGGAGATAGAACCTTTTGCTGCTCCTGTTCCACCAACTCTGGCTCAACCAGTTGCAGCTAAGAACAAAAGGCCTCGACCACACGCTGAAATTCCTGCCCATGGTGAGACATATTTTTCTTTGTTTGATGCCTTCTCTGTTATACTCTTGTTTTTTTGTCTGACTTATCCACTTTGTTTGAATAATATAGATTTATCTTCAACGGCATCAGCTCCTTGGAATCCTGGAGTTATGCATTCCCCTGATCTAATACGACATAACATTAATGCTGAAGGAAAAAGAAATGAAAGTCCTTCTATGTGGTGTCACATGCAGACAGAGATGAACAGTAGTTGCAGCTCTGTCTCGAAGACTCGGAATGAAGGTAGCTGGCTATCTTCTCCTGGCATGAGTGTTTCTCAGCCTCTGTTTCCTGCTGCAAGAGAGGATAACAAAAGTGTATCTGCTTGGCCTGTTCTTTCAGGGTTTTCAAACCCACAACCAAACAATGATTCAACTTTTGATCCAATTGAAAAGTTAAAGAAATCTGAGACAGCTGCAAGTTGCAGATTGTTTGGTATTGAGTTGATAAACCACTCTGGGAACTCAACTCCATTGGAAAGGACACATACACAACTTTCTACTATGACTACTGGTACATCCGAAAAACATGGCCCAAGTACACTGTCAACCACTGATTCTGACCTGAAGTCTGACATTTCAAAAGATTCTAAAGAGAAGAAGCAGGAGCAGTTACAGTTATCAGCAAAAGAGATCCAGAGCAGGCAAAGTTGTTCTAGCTCTACAAGAAGTCGTACAAAGGTATTGAAAGTAAAATACTCGTGCAATTATTAATTCATTCAATTGAAGAATTATTTGCTTCTTTGAAGAATTTCCATTAAACTCTCTTTTTTGTTTATGTGAACAGGTTCAGATGCAGGGGGTAGCTGTAGGTCGTGCTGTGGACTTGGCCATGTTGGAAGGGTACGATCAGCTTATGGATCAACTAGAGGAGATGTTTAATATTAAGGGAGAGCTCTGCCCCAGGAGTAAGTGGGAGATTGTCTACACTGATGATGAAGGGGATATGATGCTCGTAGGTGATGACCCATGGCTGTAAGTAACCTGATGATGCATTTAGTTTTTCCTTTTATTTAATTTAAATATTCTTTTCTAGAATTTAGTTTATTGACTTTGATTTTATGTTCATGCAGGGAATTCTGCAACATGGTAAGAAGAATATTTATCTGTTCAAGCCAGGATGTGAAGAAGATGAGTACAGGAGGCAAACTTCCAATGGCTTCTATTGAAGGTGAAGGGACTGTCATAAGCTCAGACTCAGCTGAAAACTAAAATGAGAACCTTTTATTTTTCTTTTCCTGATTTTTAGTACCTGTCGTTTGTTTATTGCTGGTAGAAGCTTTTTGTGTTACTTTGGGCTCTGGAGGATGTTAAAGTTGACGGACGCCAATCACTAGCTCGTTTTTTAGAGCTATCATAGGAGACTAAAAGACATCACCTGGGTTTGAAGAACCGAGAGATCTTGATGAATTAGTTTGGGTTGGAGGTTAGGACTAGGAGAATGTGAATACTTTTGATCTTTGTGGTTTGTTGGGGGGGGGGGGGGGGGGTTCTAAAATGTTGGTGTTTCCTGTGCTTGTAAAATATGAAATGTGCTCTGCCTGTGTAATCCTTGTCAGTAGTGAGTGAAAGTGGACCTACTTAGAGCTTATGGTGCTCTTCTATCTTTAGCTTCGTTGTTTTGGTTTTATCAATCTGTTGTCAACATCTCCCTTGCATTTATAAATTCCTGTTTCTGATCTTTAGAAGGAAGCCTGGATTAGGATATAGGAGGCCTGACAGCAGCTCCTAGCTTGGCTAGTAAGCGTAGAGATAGCTGAGGAATTGATGTCAATCCGGGACGCCGAGGCAGTCAAATCCTCTGTATAAATGTATGGCTCTGTGTAACTTTGAACCTGTTTCGTAAGTTGGAACAGCGCAACGAACGTTGGCCAAATCTGCATGGCTCCTCAATTCTCATTGGAGTGGTTAAATCTGTACATACTCATTGGGTCATTATCATGTCAATTATTCAACAATACTTAGTCAATCTTAAAAAGTTCAACCGATTCGCGTCATAGCCCACCTATCACTGTGCCCTTAATCAAGGGTGGCCTTTCTTGGCATTTTGTGAACATGACAATCATATAAACTGGCTTGAATTTAAAGTTTCAGGTTCTACTATAAATGTCTTATATGTGATCAACAAGGTGGAAAATTATGGACTAAAAATGCTAATATTTCTTCTAGCAACCTGACTAAAATTAGTCCAAGTGAAGGGTTTTTTTTTTTTTTTTTCTAGGTACAAATAAGTAAGAAACTAACATTTGTCTGCGTTTTAAGAAACATGCAGTTACGGGCAAAAACCGAAAGTGGAAAAGATGGGCCCATAAAAACAAAGAAACGCTTGGGCTATGGCCTATGGCCGCAAAAAAAAAGTGGTCCAAAGGTAGCATCTTAAGCTGGATTTGGAATCAACTGCACCTCGGAGGTGCAGTTACTAAAAAATTTTGTGCGAACCGGTGACAGACAATCATTTGGATGTCATCGCAGCAGGACGGTTGGGGTTTTAAATCCCGTTTGCCCATTGATAGATTTTGGTCCAGTGATGGACTGAAGCTCAACTTTTAATTTTATTTTTCTTTTTTATCCTTTATTTTATGCTATAAATAAAAATGTCCTTTTGATTTAAATTTTCTTTTTTTATTTTGATTTTTTATTTAAAAATTATGAAATATAATAAAATATTATTATATAATAAATTAATTAATAGATAAAATTTATTACTATATAACAAACAGTTATTTTTTATTAATTTTTAATTATTATTTAATAAACAAAATTATTGTTTATCATAAAAATAATTTAATAATTTATAATTATTTTAAAATTTTTAAATGTTGAGGAGTGAATTCTGAAAGACGTTGAGATAGACGAAAATAATAGGACTATGATATTTTATCCAACAACATTTTTGGGCAGATTGTAGCCCCACGATGCATGCATGATCAGAAGCACTCCATTCTCACACATCGAAATCACACGCATCTCAATGGATGTGCCGTCGGCATCCCAGTGGAGCATGTGTTTGACTAACAATGTTAAGACAGTCTCAGCACGTACGCCAGCATCTTCCTGTCGGCGTGACTAGTAATAGAAATTATTGAATGATTGGTCTCCGTGGTCCATACGCCCTGAGACCGATAGGAGATGACTTTGTAGTTTATTGATTGTACTAGTATTTACTATCTATGACGTTTCTAAACCGTCAGAAGCGAGGCTTAAGAAAGCAGCATTATCGACCCCCATGATTTTGTTTCTGTGAACTGTTGCCTGCCTTCTGCTCCGAACCCTTTTCTCTTCTTCCAATCTTTTTTTTTTTTTCCTGTTAATCCATCATCTAATTGATTGTCAGTTCCTTCAGCTTCATTCAACTTGGTTATCACTGAGAGTTGTGGCGTCCTACCAAAATATTGAGACAACCACTTTGACTACAAAATCTAAATAGATCACGATGTTATACAAGTGTTACACAAAACCACTTTCACTTCGGGCTTGGACTCTTTCATTCTATAACAGAGATCAAGTTAGAAACTGGCAGTGGTTTTCTTACTCTTAATTCCTGATATATATCTCATATGGATCAATTTACATAAATTGTTTAATTAATGGGAAGCTTTTGGGATGCTAATATACATTTTTTTAAAAAAAAAAATTCACTTTGGCCTTTTCTGAAATAATTATTGAACATAAATGATGTGATGTCATCTTCAAATTGACAGTGAGTCGGAAACATGCGTGTCTTACCCAGCTAAGTGAGATTTATACGTATGCATATATATTTTTTTATTGAATAAAGATTTATCTGAATGATCTATAAGATTCATTCTGATAATATTAAAAATAATAATGATGATAAAATTAGATGAGATTGAGTATTGTAATAATATTAATATTAAAACTAATAATGATGATAAAATTAGATGAGATTGAGTATTGTAATAATATTAATATTAAAAATAATGATAAAAATATATATTTAAATATAAATATAGCAAAAATTAAAATCAATAATAAAAAAATATTTATATACAAATGCACTCCGCGTTACAATCAGTTTCAAAAAAGGTTGGATTTTATTGTTATCCAAACAAGTCCTAAGTTTATGAGTATTTCCAAATATTTATAAACTTGACTCTCTTTTTGTATTGCAAAATTCATTTTTTTTTAATTTTCTAAATATGTAAATTCTATTTATTTAGAGAATTTAACAGAGTTCTGCTCTAGATTCCAGCAGACTTTCCCACTCGTGTGGGTCATGAACTCACACGTGTTTGTTCCATTCCATTTTCACTGGTTGGTTTATAAGTAACGCCGTGACTGCGATGATATACTTAAGTTAATTTCTATCTGTCAACAAATATGGAGGGGCCTCGTCTAAGAGAGTGCAGCGCCGCCTACGCCTCCCATGCTCCTCCGCTACTTCACTCACTTAAGCCCTCTCGCAGAACGGGCTCAAACCGTTTGTTTGCGACAGTTTACGCGTGTGCCATCATAGCTTTGTTCTATCGCCATGCACATATACTCCTCTACTCCAAAACCATAGTTTCTTTCTATGTAACTCTAACGTTGTTCATCTCTGATCTTATCCTCGCCTTCATGTGGGTTAACGGACAGGCTTTCCGCATGCGTCCGGTTTACCGTAAAGAATACCCCGAAAACATAGAAAAGGTCATGAAAACAAGTGATTTGCCAGCGTTGGACATTTTCATTTGCACGGCGGATCCATACAAGGAGCCGCCAGTGAGTGTGGTGAACACAGCCTTATCAGTAATGGCCTATGATTATCCAACAGAGAAGATTTCTGTCTACGTGTCGGACGATGGAGGATCGACTTTGACTCTCTTTGCTTTCATGGAAGCTACTAAGTTTGCTGCCCACTGGTTACCTTTCTGTAGAAAGAACGATATAGCGGAGAGGAGCCCGGATGAATATTTTGCATCTAATCATTCAAGGAGCTCTGAAACTGAGAAGATTAAGGTAAACCCATTCTTAAACCATCCAACTAATTAATTAGCTAATAGCTATTGCAATATTTACAGTATTTATTTATTTATTAGTGATTTTTATTGCAATTAAAAGTTGAAATTATAGAAATTACCATGAAGAAATGAGCCGTTTTCATGATAATTTAATGCGCAAAGTATGCAAACATTTTTTACTGAGCTAAATGAAAATTAAATACAATTTCCCAAAATTAAGTTTCTTATCCATTATCCATATAGCTGTAACATTATATATATATTAGATCTTATAATTCATACATTTGTATCATGTTTATTTATGTTAAAAATAAATAAAATATAAAAATTATCTTTTTATAATTCATTTTGAAATATCTAAGTACAAGATATATTTTTTTTAATTTTTTTAAATTCATATAAGTTTTTATTTTAAAACTTTAACCTATATTATTTTAGTATCATGTATGTTATATTTAAAATTATCAAATTTAATATATCTTATTAAAAAATATTACTATATATCAAAAGTTTCTCTTTAAAATGATTGAAGATAAGGATAATCTTTATCATTTTGTCAAGTTTCCAATCTAATTTTTTATTCAAAAAATATTTCTTTGTGGCTAGCTGTCCAATAAACTTTAATTTAAGTTTAAATTTAATTTCGATTCAGTTCATTTTCAAAAAAGATTGATCTCTGGATATATAGCCATGGCCAATGAACCATATTTTCACAAGAAATACCACTGGTGCTAAAAATTTAGAAAATAAAGCATACAGTTAAACCAGCCGTATGATCGGCTGGGGTTAATTACAATCAAGCTATTAGATTCTTGAAGTCAATCAATATTTGATATGATGAGGTCGTCACTTAGTCAAAATTAGCTAGCTAGGACTTTTATTCAAATTAAGCAAAAAAACAAAAAAAAAAAATCGCCATTCTCCCTAACAAAAATTGCCATTCTCCCTAACTGCTGGAATTTTTGTCCAAATTCCTAGTAAGGCACATGGATGATGATGTAAGAACAAATTACAGTACGGAAATGTCAAGTTGTCTGGTTTATACTTTGCATGTACGTGGATGTAATGGAAAACAGAATGATGAAAATGGTGATATTTTATTGTACCAGCTTTCCACATGGATGATGCCTGAGAGGCTGAGAAATGATGATCCAATCCCCCGCAATTTGCTAAAATATGTATAGTTCTATAACACATGACAACTCATCCAACTAAAAGCCATCCCAAGTAGCTAATTTTCATAAGATTAAGACAATTTTTAATTTTAAAATTGAGATAAAAGTTTTAATTGCTTTATATATTTTATTTCTTTAGAGCTTTTTTATTTACAAAATTGATTTTCGATGGATTTTTATCACTTAAACTATTTCTTTTTTTAGTACTTAACTTGTTATAAAAATTAAATTTAGTTACAAAAATTAAAAATTCAATATTTTATCAACCAAATACATGATTATTTTCAGCACTTAAACTGATTTTCAATTCACAATTGTGAAATCCTCCTTTGGAGTCAATATAAAAATGTTTTTTAACAAAATTAAAAAAGGTAAAATGCTAATTTTTAGTTAGTAATTCGTCGATATGTCCGAGTGGTTAAGGAGACAGACTTGAAATCTGTTGGGCATCGCCCGCGCAGGTTCGAACCCTGCTGTCGACGCACCATTTCTTTATTTATTTTGCTTTGGACTTCCTTTCGTATACTTATTATCTTTGGAATTTGTGTTAAATTTGTTGTAGACAATGTATGAGAGCATGAAAGTGAGAATTGAACACGTTGTTGAAACCGGAAAAGTTGATGAATACATAACCAACGATCAAGACCGTCAGGCTTTCAGTAAATGGAGTACTGATGGATTTACCCGTCAAAATCACCCATCTGTGATTCAGGTTTTGCAACACAACATTTCCCGAGCTTCTCTTTGATCTCAAATTAATCAGTGCCAAACGACTGATAGTGTTGTTGTTATAACGTTGATATTGGTAATGATCAGGTTTTATTGGAGAAAAACAAAGACAGAGACATCACAGGCCATTGGTTGCCAAACCTGGTTTATGTGTCTAGGCAGAAAAGCAAGACCTTTCCTCACCATTTCAAAGCTGGAGCCCTCAATGTCCTGGTATATATTATATGCCCTCACGGAATAATTAAAGTTTACCATTCATTATGATTATCTTCTTGATCTTCGCTAAATGGTCAATGTTGTATTTCTATATATATATATATATATATATATATAAAGGTTCGAGTTTCGGCTGCCATGACCAATGCACCAATAATTTTAACCTTAGACTGTGACATGTATTCGAATGATCCGAGAACACCTCTCCGTGCCCTGTGTTATATGTTAGACCCTGAAATTCAGAACAACTTGGCTTACATTCAGTTTCCTCAAGAATACCATGGGCTCAATAAGAGTGACATTTATGCTTGTGAGCATAAGCGTTTGTTTAAACTTAATCCTATTGGCTTTGATGGGCTATCCGGCCCTAATTATGTGGGAACGGGCTGTTTTTTTCTCCGGCGCGCTTTGTTTGGTGGCCCATCAACTTTGGTTTTACCGGAAATCAGGGAAATAAGTCCAGATTATATCGTAAACAAGCCCATTACTGCCCAATCAGTTGCTGAATTGGCATACCAAGTTGCTGGATGCAATTATGAAAACCAGACCGAATGGGGTTGTAAGGTAATATGATTAAATTTGAGTAATCTATAATTTTCTTTGATAAAATGCCTGTTGTAATTATATTTGTGTGGAACAATGATCTGTGTAGATTGGATTTAGATATGGGTCACTTGTGGAGGACTATTACACAGGTTTTCGCCTGCAATGTGAAGGATGGAGGTCCATATTCTGCTATCCTGAAAGGGCTGCATTTCTGGGAGATGTACCCTTCAACACTCTTGATGTTCTTGGCCAGAACAAGAGGTGGGCAATCGGCCTCCTTGAAGTGGCTTTTTCAAGATACAGTACCATAACTTTTGGTGTCAAATCTATGGGGCTTTTCATGGGGCTAGGTTATTCATACTATGCATTCTGGGCTACTTTGTCAATTCCAATCGCTACATATTCCTTTCTCCCTCAGCTTGCTCTCCTTAACGGAGTCAGTATCTTCCCAAAGGTACATATTTTTACTTGTATTAGTTTCAAACAACAAGATTATTAATTTTTACGAATGACATTGGTTGAGGTTAAAAAGTTGCTTAATTTTCAGGTCTCAGAACCATGGTTTCTCCTTTACATGTTCCTCTTCCTTGGAGCATATGGGCAAGATTTCTTGGACTTTGTTGTAGGTGGAGGAACAATCCAAAGATGGTGGAGTGATCAGAGAATGTGGATGATGAGAGGACTTTCATGTTACTTGTTTGGATTAACTGAGTTCCTGCTTAAGTCCATTGGCATTCCGACTCAGGGTTTCAATGTGACCAGCAAGGTAATCGACAATGAGCAAAGCAAAAGATATGACCAAGGCCTTTTTGAGTTTGGAGTACCATCGCCCATGTTCGTAACACTAACAATGGCAGCAATAATCAACCTATTCTCATTCTCCTACGGACTGATACATTTTCTCAATGGCAGCAACAAGGAAGGGCTTTTTATCCAGTTGTTCCTATCAGCGTCAATCGTGATGAATTGCCTGCCAATTTACCAAGCCATTGCATTGAGGAGTGACAAAGGAAAAATGCCTATTAGCACCACCATTACTGCAACAGTTCTGGCATCTGCTATTTATGCAGTAGCTACTATCGTTCTCAAGTGATGCTAGCAGATCAGGAACACTGTTCTTTTCTGTTCTCTTTAATTCTATCATGCTCTTTTTTATCTCAAGAGATTAAAATTTTAGGATATACATATAATACTTATCAATTTGTAACTTTGTTTATTATATTAGATCAATTCTCTATATAATATTCCAAATTTTATGTAATCTTTTTGAGTCTTCTTAGAGTCCAATTATTAAGTTAGAAAAGTGAAAAACTTAATGCGAGGGCGTGAAAAGGTCAGATCAAGCTGGTCTATCGTGCTCAACAAACAAATTATTGAAGCTGAGATAAGCAATGGCGTGTCACAATTAAAGTTGCAATTAAAGTCTAATCGATGGCACTCGAATTATTGTTTGAGTTCAAGTTTAATTTATAATTTAAAATTTAAAATTTAATTTAAATTCATCAAATTTTATTATTTATATTGAGATTGATTGAGAGAGAATTTGCAAGTAACTAGGCTTGCGCTCCGCTGCACAATGCTAGCTTGCGTGATAATTTTTTATATTTAAATACTTTTTAATTTTAAAATGTTTTTTTTTTTCATTCTTAAACATGGTTGTTGTTCTTTTAAAGTCAATTTTTTTCATTCTTACACATACGGGACTCGGGTATTTATTCATCCGACATCTCAAATTAGTTTAATTATCACGGTTCATATTTTTATGAGATATTGTTCATTCTGGTCCCCCTGATCTCACGATTTTATCCTACAAAAGACGTCTCACAAGGAAGAGATGGTATAAGAGTGTGACATACCTCATAAGAGTGTGAACCGTAGCGGTTAGGCTGATCTGGAACGTCGGATGAATGGATGCCCGGGTCTTATAGCCACGTAGGTTTGGAGCTTAAGTCTTAACCCGTGACAAGTGGTATCAGACCAGTCCTATACCATTCGATCCACGTTAAGCACCTCGAGGGAGGTAGGCAGGGTGACCAATCTCTGTGACGAGGACGTCACGAGATTGGGTGAGAGAGAATATCACGGACCTAAGGAGGAGTCCTAAATCTCATATCGAATATAAAATGAGGGTCACTGGGGCATAAAAAAATTACACCATCTCTTCTTATGAGGTGTCTTTTATAGGATAAAACTATGAGGTCAGGAGGGTTAGAGCGGACAATACCTCATAAGGGTGTGAACCGAGACAGAAAGACTGATCTGAAATGTCGGATGAATGAATACCTAGGTCTCGGACCTACGGGAGTTGAAGCTTAAGTCTCGACCCATGACATACATACATCGTTGGTGGTAGTTAATGGTGGTGTGGGTATGGATGATGTAGATTTCATATTAAAAAATTTGCACATATATAGTTGATCTACAAAGAAAATTTGAAGATCTATTTTTTTTAATTTTTTGTTTTCTTACATTTTAAATTTTTTAGTAATTATATTTTAAGGTATTTTATTTTAATTAAGAAGGTATAATAGTTTTTTTATTTATTGAACAAAGTGTCGAATGAGTTAGTTTTAATATATAATATAAATTTTTAAATGTTCAAATTATTCAAAAGTAATTGAGATTTGAACTTTAACAATATTTATATTTTATAAAATTATCTAAAAAATTCTTGTAATCCTTTCTAAAAGATGATTTTCGACAAATTTAAAGTTTATAATTTAGCATATGCACTTTTTTTCCATTCATATTATTTTTAGATTGTGATCTCATTTATATAAAATGTTAATTTTATTATTAAAAAAATTATGTTAAATTTGAAGTAAAATTATTTTCATCCGAATCTCTCATGTAACAATTTCATTTTTCATTAAGGATGATAACGGAGGGAATATCCATTATTTTTAAAGTATTTATATTTGAATTTATTTAATATTCATAATATCTAAATTTTTTAAATATCTGTTTAAACTTAATATCACTATCCAAATTTAAATCTATTTAAATAAATATTATTTATTTAAATATGTGAATCTATTAAAATATCTATTTATTTAAGTTTTATATAAAATAAATAAGAATTTAAATTTAAATTCAAATTCACTCTTAATTAATAAACAAGTAAAATTTATTTATTAAGGTTCGAAACTTTTACAAGTATAAAATTTTAAATATTTTACATACGAAAATAAATAACAGATTTAGATATCTATTATTATTCATTAAAATCTAAATGAATTCGAATATTGAATATTCAAGAAATATTATTTATATATTATCCAAATTTATCATCGATAATAAATCTCTTATTCGAATTTATTAATTATTTATTTATAATTATCTAAATATGACGTAAACTAGTTAAATAATAATAGATATCCATTTATTTACAATTTATTACAAACTCCATTTTCCATACATTTTTAATAAGTGTATCTATATGCTGAATACAGTGCTGGCACATCACTCTTCCTTCCTTTGCCTATAAATTAATTAATAATGACAAACTTATTACTTGTACTAAATGCAAGAGAACTCATAGTATTAAGCACATACATTCCATAAAGCAAACAAGGATGGAAGGCGGAGGTCTAAAAGGAGGATGCACCGCCCATGCTCCTCTTCACACGTTTGAACCGCTGCGGCGGACGGCCTTGAACCGCGTATTTGTGGTGGTTTACTCGTGTGCACTTTTTGCTCTACTCTATCGCCATGCACAGATGCTTCTCTACTCCACAACTTTACTCTCTTTCTCTATGACACTGTCTTTGCTCATCTCAGATCTTGTCCTGGCCTTCATGTGGGCATGCGGACAAGCTTTTCGAATGCGCCCAATTCGTCGTAAAGAGTTCCCTGAAAGCCTCAAAAGAATCATGAAAGAAGAAGATTTTCCAGGGCTGGACGTGTTCATATGCACGGCTGATCCTCACAAGGAGCCACCAATGAATGTGGTGAACACAGCCCTCTCGTTGATGGCTTATGATTATCCAACAGAGAAGCTTTCCGTCTATGTATCAGATGATGGAGGGTCAGCTTTGACTCTCTTTGCTTTCATGGAGGCTGCTAAGTTTGCATTTCATTGGCTACCATTTTGCAGGGAGCACAATATAATGGATAGGAGCCCTCAAGTGTATTTTGCGTCTAATTATCATTCTTGGAGCCCTGAGATTGAGAAGATTAAGGTAATTAATACACTCAAACACTTGCTAATTCTATCTCAAAAACTTTAATTAACTAAATTTCCTTGCCTAATTTTTGTACAAAATTATATTGATAAAGTAATTTAATTTTGAGTGTTCACTATTACTTATGTCTAACAATAACAGTAGATTTGCTAGTAAGTTTTCAGGTAGATCCAGAATTTTTATTTTTTATTTTTTTTTTGTGTCCGCTTTTTACGGTGAATGTTTGCTGAACGTTGGATATCGGTTGGCTGTTAGCTATAATTGAGTATTGAGTAGTAACAGTAAATAGAATGGTTAAGGATTTAAAAAAGATATATTATAATTTTTAAGAGTGTTAAAAAAATTTTTCAAATTTTTTTATTTTTCAAACTTTGTGAGTCTCCATAAACACATTAATTTTATATTTGCAACTGCCACTATTTTCGTCTATCCAAATTAAATTCCTGCATGGACAAAAAAAAAAGGTAAAGTTGATTTTTAAATCAAATCTAATTTTATAATCGCCATGATCATAATTAATGCATCATTACTTTCAAAAGGTGCTAAATAGAGTCCACAATAAATATTGAAAGAGGGAAATTAAAGAAATATATAGTAAAAGGGTAGATGGAATCTACGTACCATAAAAATTGAAAAAAGGAAATTAAAGAAATATACAACAAAGGGGTAGATGGAATCTAGGAGCTGACTGGCGCGATGAACTAGAAGATTATATATAATATGAGCCAATGGCCTGTCCTAATCTAAAATAATTAAAATTACATTTAAAATAAATTAAACTTCTTCAGTTTTAAATTATTTGGGTGGTGTTAATTTTCATGAAATTAAAAAAAATAATTTTAATATATTTAATATTAAAATTAAATTTTTTTTATAAAATCAAAGTTTTATGATTTTAAATGTTAAAAAGTAAAAAAAAAATCATAAAAAATAAATTTTAAATATAAAAAGTAAGTGATTAGATGCTAAAAAAAAAGATATAATTTAGAGACTTCTAAAAAAATTGAATAAAAAAATGAAACGGAGGGAATATGTGATATTGATTAATATGAGCTTATATAAAATAATATAATTGATTATAATTTATATATTAAAAAATTAATGATGAAAATTACTAGTATTCATCAATATATATATATATATATTAAAAAAATAAAAGATGAAGTTACAAGTTATAGCAATTTCTTAGCAGATAAAATATTAAATTCTTAATTTGAATATGATAGATAGATAAAAAAAAGGATTATGTCTTAACCTATGTTTCTAGGCATTATTAAGTAAGCATTCTTAGGCATTTATATGTTTAGTTAACTTAAGAAAAATAAGAAAAACTCTATTAGCAGTTAAAACTAAATATTTGTTTTTTATAAAAGATGACGTAATTAAAGATAAAAGAAAAATTATAAATATTAAAATATAAAATTTAAATTTATTAAATGTTAACTTTTAAAAAATATATATATAAATAAATTTTTTTAATCTCTAGATCAAACTAAGTAAATATTTGTTAGTATCTGTGTTTATTTTATATGTATATATTTTATTTCTTTAAAAGTTGAGTTTTAATTTTCTTTTTTTAAAAAAAAATGTTGCATCTTGCTGCTTATCTCTGACATATTTGAACATTGGACCCCATATGAAATAATTTTTGTTATGTCAGTCAATTAATTACGACAGATTCAGACAAAGAACCCCAACAACCAATCTTGTCAAGTAGACCGCATCATTTTGATTTAGTCAAACCTTCAAATTAAAGATAAGGATTAGTACTAATCCATATGTCTAAATCATGAATAGACAGTTAACATGTGCGTGGATCCAAACAAGTCATTTCAATATAATATAGTACTTTTCTTTATTTGAGAGGGGTATAATATATATCATTTTCATGCACATAAATGTATCAAATGTAAATAGATAATTATAAGATATAATTTTGAGTTATTATTATTATTATTATTTTATTTTATTTTATGCTTTTCTTGAAGAAGACGATATCTATAGCTTGCTTGGGCTGGCAATGCCATATATCATGTCCTAACTAAATTTAGATGGATCAAATTTATATAAAATTTTTTAGGTGAAATTTGTAATTTTTTTAATAATTTAATAAAAATTCATATTGATAATTTGATAAAGTTTGATGTGAAAATTAATAATATGTAAAAAAATTATTTAAAAAATTATTTATAATTTAAATTTAATTAATATTTATTTTACAGTAAAAATTTTATTAAAAATATCTATATATATTTATTATTATTTTTTTAATTTTACACATTTAATCTATATAAAAATATTTTCAATTTTTATTTTTATTTAATTTTGTTAATAATAAATTTCATGACCTTTATCTAAGAAATTTTATTTAAATATTTCCCAGATATGTTGATGCCTTTATTGTTTTGGCTTCCCAAATTGCATAGTTCAGTTTTTGCCATTTCGGCTGCAAGCCCCTACTTTTTTTTTTGCTACTAAGTCCCTAGTAGTTTTTTTTTAGCCAATTAAGTCCCTTGTAGTTGAATAAGCCTTTTTTTATTTTTTTCTCTTTTTTTATTACAAAAAGAAAAATGAATAAAATTAAAATATTTAGACATTTAAAGGATATGTTTGATAAATAGAATGATGAAACCGATGAAATGATTATCTCATTATCTTATTTTTTATGCACATATAAAAAAATATTGAATTACAAAAAGATTAACTATCATTTTAAAATAGAATGATTCAATCCTAAGAGAAGATTATTTCTAATATCATAGAATTAGATAATAGATACGGATATAATATCTATTTTATTGCTAATTTTATATTTAAAATTTAATTTAAATATTTAATAAGATGATTAGTATCATTATATAATTGGTTAATCTAAATTATATTTTTCTTTTTCAAATTTTTTTCTTTTTTAAAATTTATTTCACTTTCTTTTTCTTTTTTTGAAAAAAAGAAAAGGATAAACCAATGTTCTTGTTTTAATAACAAATAAACTTTTATAAAAATAAAATAAAAAGGAGAAATATAAAATAAGATAAAAATACTTTTTTGATAAAAAATATTTTTTGAAAAAACCAATGTACTTTTTTTTATAAAAATTAACTTTTTCTGAAAAATTAATTTATTTAAAAGATAAATTTAGCTTTCGATCATATAAATTATAAAAATAAGAAAATAATGAATAGAAAAAAATATAGAAAAATACTTTTATAATTATTTTTAAAAAAATCGATTTTTTTTATCAGCATTTGGTGCTTCTAGTAATTGCATGGCACAAACTTTTAGAAGATTTACCAATCTAGAACAGCACTAGTCAGCAGCCAGTAATATCCAGTATGTACTTGCCCATGATCGGCAATTCTATCCTTTTTCTAAGATATCTTCACAAGAGATTCTAAATATAAATAGTTAATAATTCATGCATAATATTAGAATATTTTAATTGATGCTAAAAATTCAAAGTATCATTCTTTCATCGTAATAATTTTTTTTTTTTTTGCATAAAGAGCGGAAACCCGCTTACGTAATACAGGCCCTAGGCCTTGCAACACCTACCGTGTCGTCTTGTATCAATCTACCTAGAGAAGCAGAGGAGATAACAATTTAAGAACATCAAAATTACCCTTATAGTCTTCGATTTTTTGATCTAGTAGTCAAAAACATCTTAAAAAAACATTGAAATTGAGATTTGACTTCAGCCTTTCTCCTCCTTCTTTGTTGTAGGTTTCTACTTTTTTTTTAAAAAAAAAAAGTTACCCTTATGGATTAAATTTGTCAAAAAAATTCACGCAAAATTTTGCCTCATAATAGATATGAAAGAGCGATCAGTTTCAATCTAGATGGAGTACTTGTTTGCACCAAATAAAACCTGATAAAAGGGGCCATTATCATTGTAAAATTTTTTGTATAACCAATAAAGAATCTGATTCTAGAAATTTTCTGCAACCATGCTCCTGGCTAATTTTAATCCCACGTAGATAGCATCGATTTCAGCCATATTGTAGCAGCTTATGTCGTGAGGCCTATATTGTAGAAGTGATAGATGTAACATCTCCCACTTTTGGGATACAAATCTAAATTGCAGATGATGTACGAGAATATGAAAGTGAAGGTAGAACATATTGTCGATAAAGGAGAAATCAGTGATGAATACATTACAGAGGATCAACAACGCCAAGCTTTTAATAAATGGACCAACGGGTTTACTCGCATACATCACCCCACTATCATCCAGGTATGCATTCAACATTTTCCAAGCTCAAAATTCAATCCGATGACCAATAACAAATTAAATTACACGGTACAGGAAACCAGCCTTTTGCTGCTACACTCGATTTACTAATGCATATGAGACATGAACTATGGGCAGGTTATCTTAGATAAGAGCAATGACAAAGACGTTTCTGGCCATTGTTTGCCAAATTTAATTTATGTCTCTAGACAGAAATGCAACAGTTCACCCCACCACTTTAAAGCTGGAGCTCTTAATGTTCTGGTATGAGTATTGTTTCTGGTTGCTATCCAATTGATTAGTTTTTATTTATTATCATTTCTAATTCCTTGAATTTTCGACATTGAAGTTACGTGTATCAGCTGTTATGACAAATGCGTCAATAATCTTAACTCAAGATTGTGATATGTACTCAAATGATCCCCAAACACCTCTTCGTGTGCTATGTTATCTATCAGATTCTGCAATTCAATCAAAATTAGCATACATTCAATTTCCACAACGATTTCATGGCCTTAACAAAAATGACATCTACGCTTCCGAGTATAAACGTCTCTTCCAAGTCAATCCCATGGGTTTTGACGGGCTAAAGGGCCCGAATTATGTGGGATCCGGCTGCTTCTTTTGCCGGCGAGCTCTCTTCGGTGGCCCATCAGCTTCGTTTCCCATTGAAGTCCCAGAACTTAGCCCAAACCATGTGGTAGACAAGCCCATTAAATCTCAAGAAATTTTGTCATTGGCACACCAAGTGGCAGGTTGCAACTATGAGAACCAAACTAAATGGGGATCAAAGGTAAACTCATCAGTCACTCTCCATAATGCTATCAAAGGTTAAAATTTATAAAATTTATAAAATTTATATGCAGTATGTTAAGAGTTCTTTTGACATGTATGCAGTGTGGCTTCAGATATGGATCTCTGGTTGAGGACTTTTACACAGGTTATCGGCTTCAGTGTGAAGGATGGAAGGGCTTGTTCTGCCACCCTGAGAGGGCTGCATTTTTAGGGGATGTGCCAATTACCCTTTTTGATATAATTAATCAATGCAAGAGATGGTGCATCGGACTTTGTGAAGTGACCTTCTCCAAATATAACACTCTCATCTTCGGTTCTCATTCCATGGGCCTTTTAATGGGCCTAAGTTATTCTCACTATGCATTCTGGCCTATATGGTGCGTTCCAGTCACCCTCTATTCTTTCCTACCCCAGCTAGCACTCCTCAATAAAGTTAGTATCTTCCCAAAGGTATGAACATCGATGAATCTGTACATATCATGAAATATTTATTTAAATTCAGTATATTGATCAAGTAAAAAATGACAAATGGTGTTGCAGATATCAGAACCATGGTTTTTCTTGTATGTTTTTCTTTTCCTCAGCGCTTACGGGCAAGATTTCCTTGACTTTCTCCTAGCTGGAGGCACTGTCCAAAGGTGGTGGAATGCTCAAAGGATGTGGATGATAAGGGGACTGTCATGTTTTTTGTTTGCTTCAGTTGAGTACTTTCTCAAGTCCTTACGCATTTCCACACATGGTTTTAGCCTAACGAGCAAGGTGCTTGATGATGAACAAAGCAAGAGATACAGCAGAGGCATTTTTGAGTTCGGAGTCCCATCCCCCATGTTTGTTCCATTAACTATGGCTGCAATAATCAACTTATTCTCATTCGTATGGGGATTGACAGAGTTTTTGGTTGGCAGAAATGGGGAAGGTCTCGGTATGCAGATGTTGTTAACAGGGTTCATTGTGGTGAATTGCCAGCCAATTTATGGAGCCATTGCCTTGAGGAATGACAATGGAAAAATGCCCACCAAAATTACTGTTATCTCAATATGTCTGTCAGTGGCTCTTTATATTGCCGCTTCTTTCTGTTTCAGAAGTAATGACTCCAAGAAATAAGGTAGGGCTTTTTCCACTCAATTACTAGCATCTTTGCTTTGCATTTTTCCTTGATGAAATAATTAATGGCTGAAGTTTCTTTTTCCCTTTCGTTTGGTATGGCAGACTGTATGATACAGTTATTTTACATTAATGTACCTCGTTTTCATTCAACCCATGCTATATAATTAAATTATTAAAACAAATCAATCATTTATTACATATCACATATAATAATTAAATAATAAATATTTATTTTAATAGATTTATACATATAATGTGTAATAAAATAATTAATTTTTTAAATAATATAATTATGTAGTATAATTTAAATGAAAATGATATAATAATCATTTCATACAATTATTTTTTATTAATATATTGTATGAATACTGTAATTTGGGTTTGATAGATAATTTGAGCACTGTAAGGTTGATTTGTTGTTTGCCCCACAAATTAACTACACAAAAGGAAGGCAAAAGCATATTTATTTTTTAAAAAATTATTTTCGAGTGTTTGATGTAATAAAAAAATTAAATTCTCTTCTCCAAATCATAAAAATAATTGCATTATTATATTGCTATAATTTAAATAATGATTTTTTTTTAATCTTGCATTATTTCGATCACAAAACCTTATGGTATGTGTTTAAATATTTATATATTTTTTTAAGTCAAAGTGCAATGTATATTATTTTAATAAATTAGATTTTAATAATTTAAAATACGATATGAATATAATATAAAAAAAAAACAGATATGATTTAATATTTTAATAATAATTATATTTAGATTTAATAAAATAAAAAAATATATTTTATATTTTCATAACGATACAAATTATAACATATAATTTTTATATAAAATATAATATAAATACATAAATTTTAATAACTAAATCTATAACAACTGAGAAAGAACTAAAATAATTATATTTCATCATTTATATCTTATTCTGTAGGAATGATAACGAATCAAATCAGATTTGATTCGATTTTTTAAATTTAAAATTTAATTTTTAATTTAAGTTTAATATATAAATATTTAATATTTAAATTTAATTTAAATCAAATAAAAAATAATTTAAAAATAATTAAACACTATAACTTTAAATTTATTGAATTTTTTCCTCACCCTGAATGTCTTTGTCTTGCCCATTTTCTAGTACCCTTCAAAGGAGCATCTATCCTCATAATGTCTACACCACTGATTAGTGCAAGTGGCCAAGTTGGTTGAATACCTTTTTTTCTTTTCTTTTCCCAACTTTATTGTTCAAACATTTCCAACTAAATAATTTAGGAAGTCATTAAGAAGATATCAAATTATATAAATATAATATATATATATATATATATATATATACACTAAACAATAGTACCATTTTCATTCTAATTTGGGATTTTTTAAATATAAATACGCCACGTTATTACAAATTATTACTTAAATCACCATGTGATTAATGTCAACTGCCCTGAATACCTGGTACAAACCTCTTAAATTTCACCCTTACTGCCCACTTATAAAGAGAAATTCAGCCTTCGACTGCCCATTGCCATCATCACTACCCACACAAGTAATGGAGTTTCTAAGTCGGAGAGAGCACTACACCACCCCCCTGGCACCCATCGATACTCCTCTTCTCACCGTGGAACGCCTCCCACGCACAGCCGTGAACCGCGTCTTTTTGGTAGTTTACACTTGCGCCATCCTAGGTCTACTCTACCGCCATGCACAAACACTTGTCAATTCCACAACCTTAGTCTCTTTCTTTATAACCCTCTCTTTGCTTGTCTCTGATCTCATTCTTGCCTTCATGTGGGGAGCTTCACAAGCTTTTCGCATATACCCAATTCATCGTAGGTAATTCCCAGAGAACCTGAAAAAGAACGTGACGGAGCAAGATTTTCCAGTGTTGGGCGTGTTCATATGAACGGCTGACCCTTACAAGGAGCCGCCAATGAGTGTGGTGAACACGGCTTTGTCCTTGATGGCTTATGATCATCCAACGGAGAAGATTTCGGTGTATGTATAGGACGATGGAGGATCAGCTTTGACACTTTTTGCTTTCATGGAGGCTGCTAAGTTTGATAGCTACTGGTTACCATTTTGCAGGGAGAATAACATTATGGATAGAAGCCCGGATGTTTATTTTTCATCAGCTCATTCTTGGAGCTCTAAGGCTCACAAGATTAAGGTAAATCCACTTTTAAAATTAAATTCTAAAAGAATGATAGTCAATTAACATTTTTAATCGCAATTAACTCCAAACTTTACATGCATAATTAATTTCAACGATCAAAATTTCAAACAACATGACTATAAAAAAACTTCATTACCGGAAAAATAAATTCACTAGAGATAAGGGCAAGAGTACAGCAGCAACAAAGAGACGATTTCTTGTCGGAAGTATATAAGGCGACACGAAAAGTTATGTCATCATTGATCTCAGCTTGGCTGTTGTTGTGGTATGTACAATGTCTAAACAATGATAGCAAATCCTTCGTGATAAAAAAAAAACAAAAAAACAAAAAAACGAATCCTTCCTATCTTTATTTTTGTCCCATGTTCCATGGAATGGGATCTCTTTTAAAGTTCCCAAAAACATGAAATTAATTATCACTTCTTGTCTTATTGATATCTTCTCTTTTTTCTTTTTCCCATCTAAAGGTCAAATTACATGAACGAATGGTCAGATTAGCCATTGATGTTAAGTCGTGTTTGGTGTGTATATGTGTGTATATATATATATATATGTATGTATAGTTTTTCAATAATTTTTTTATATATATATAAAAGGTCTAACCTGAAAATAGAAATAAAAGTAGTAAATATTAATGATTGAACTCAACTTGCTAACACATTTTAAAAGTGATTGTATAAATTAATTGAGTTAAGTATTGAATTAAGTATTGAGTTAAGATATAATAAAGATAAAATTAATGAGTGAATATATATATATATATATATAGTTTTCAATAAATTTTTTTTTACATATAAAAGAGGTCTAACCTAAAAATAGGAATAAGAGCAGCAAATACTAAAGTTTAAACTCAATTGGCTAAATGACACATTTTAAAAGTGATTGTATAAATTAATGCAGCTAAGTTTTGAATAAGATATAATCAAAATAAAATTAATGAGTAAACTTACTCAAAAGTCAAGTTAACCACTCAAGGGTTGAGCTATCCACTCAAGTCCAAAGGTCTATCAAGTTAATTTTAAGAATATTTTGACAAAAAATTAAGATTTATTAAATGGATATGGACAAAATTTTTAAGCCTTTTTAAATTTTGAGTCGGGCTTTGAACACAAAAATTAAAGTTCGAACTTAGCTTAACCTAGCTCACATAATATAAATATAATTAAATTATTATAATTATATATATGTAAATTTTTATTTTAATATTTTATTTTTTATTATATATATTGGGTTTAATGGGTGAGTTTGTATTTTATTTTTATAACATGGATTGAACTTTGAAAAAATTTTAAACCCAAAATATCAAAGCAGATTAGACCTAAATAAACATATAAATTATTAATTCCAAACATGGACCTAACTTGATCCATAAAAACATCTATCCCTAAATTATTTTCATATTATCCTATTTTAGGACATGCATATGCACCAAATTTCTCATCATGTTTTGTTGTATTATCAACGTATGGCTTCATGGTCATGATAAAATCAATTTTTAAGCTGCTAACTCTTAGTAAAATTTTCAATTTTCCAAAATTTAAAATGTACGACATGCAAGTCAAATAATTCATATATTGATTCCTAAATGGTTCAAAATTTTTAAACTTGTTAAATAAAATATTTGTTCATTGAAGTTCTTTCTTATTTGAAAAAAAAGTTTCAATTTTTAAATTTCATGAGATATTCGTTTATAAGATAGTAGAAATAACATTTGGATCTTAAATCTTAATCATGTGCCAGGAAATATACGAGAACATGAAGGTGAGAGTAGGAAATGTTGTCAACAGAGGAGAAGTTAGTGAAATTTACATCACCAATGATCAAGAGCATATTTGAACATTGGACAGCTAACATGTGCATGGATTCAAACAACTCATTTCAACTATACAAATATATAATATATTACTTTTCTTTATTTAGGGGGTAAATATATATATATTATTTTCATGCACAAAAATGTATCAAATGTAAATAGAAAATTATAAGATATAATTTCGAAGTTTTTTTTTTATTATTAGTAATTTAGTTTATCTTATGCTTTTCTTGAAGAAGAGAACATCTATAGCTTGCTTGTGCTGGCAATGCCATATATCAAGTCCTAGCTAGATTAAGATGGACAAATTTTACATTAAATTTTTTAAGTGAAATTTGTAAAATTTTTTCTTAAATATTATTTAATAAAAACTTTAATAAAAAATTCATATTGATAGATTGATATAGTTCAATGTGACAACTAATGATATGTAAAAAATTATTTATAATTCAAATTTGATCGATATTTATTCTATAATAAAAATTTTATTAATATTTTTATTAAAAGTATCTATCTAAAAATATATATCAAAAATTATTTTTTTTTCAAAAATTGCATATTTAATCTATATAAAAAAATTTAATTTATCATTTTTAATTTTTAATTTTAATTTTAATTTAATAATTTTTAACAATAAACTTCGTTGATGCATTTATTATTTTGGCTTCTCGCATGGCATAGTTTAGTTTTTGCCATTTCGGCTGCAAGTCCCTACTTTTTTTTGCCCCTAAGTCCCTAGTAGTTTTTTTGTGGCCAATTAAGTCCCTTGTAGTTGAATAAGCCTTTTTTATTATTTTCTCTTTTTTTATTATAAAAAGAAAAATGAATAAAGTTAAAATATTTAGACACTTTAAGGATATGATTGATAAATAGAATGATGAAGCCGATAGAATGATTATCTCATTATCTTATTGTTGATGCACATATATAAAAAAAAATATTGAATTACAAAAAGATTAATTATCATTTTAAAATAGAATGATTCAATCCTAAGAGAAAATCATTTCTAATATCATAGAATTCGATAATTAATACGTATATATTATCTATTTTATTGTTAATTTTACCTTTAAAATTTGATTTAAACATTTAATAAAATAATTAGTATCATTATATAATTGGTTAATTTAAATTAATT